GCCCCACGGCGCGGGGAGGGCTCGGGGCCTTCCCTCCGCCCGGCGCACTCAGGGCCAGGAACTCCCGCTCTCCTCGTGCCCCACGGGGAAAGGCCGCCCTCCCAGCACGGCCCGCGTCCCCTCCGCTCCCCGGGGAGGAGCAGCCGCCCGAGCGCTCCCCGCCCCGCGCGGCCCATGTCCCCTCCGCGGGGGCAGAGCATCGTTTTTCACCGTTTAGCCCCCTGCTTCCCCCTGCCTCGCAGCAGAGCGCAGGTTGCAGCAGCCCTGGGACAGCAAGCGGAGCGGCTGCAGCCCGGGATGCCCCTGCTGCCAAGCGAAACACGGGGTGCGGGGAGAGGAAAGAAGAGGGGACTGGGAAAAAAAATACAACGTAAGGCAGGCATCCAATAAAACTATGTTTATAAATAAAAACAAGGAAACTGGCTTTGTTTTTATAAAACCCAGTGGGCAGAGCAGGGTGCAGTGGTTGGGGGGAAGGCGTTACAAGAGGCAGGAGTGAGGGGAGAGGTGGCATCTTGCCAGCACCGAGATCAGGGGACACCAGGATGGCAGAGGCTGGGCAAACCGGCACCAGCAGGCACAGGGGTGGAGAGGCTTGGGGAGTCAGGGGAGAGGAGCTGGTGCAGGGGGCGCAGGCACCACGCAGACCCCTGAGGAGCAAAATACATCTCATCTCCAAAGTATAAAAAAAACCCCTTCAAACATAAGAAAGGCCAAAGGAGGCAACATTGATGCAGAGAAAAGCCACGGTCGGCGAGAGGAGAGGACCAGCGGGGTCGAGCGCATCTGTGCTGTACCGTGCTCAGCCCCGCAGCGAGGACGGGGCTGCCCCCACCAAGGCACAGCTCCTCGCCCATCCCGGAGGGAGACAGGAGGAAAGGTGCCGTGGACGCCCAAGAGGAAGAGAAATGGCAGCACAGGGAACATCAGAGCAAACAGACCCAACTGGCATCTCAGTCCTCTGTGGCACTGAGGCCAGGGCCCTGCATTCACCACCACGGTCCTAATTCGCAGAGGAGTTTGTGTCTCCTCGGGGAGCAGTTCACATTCAGGCAGCAGCAGGGCAGGCCCCGTGCTGCAGTTTTCTGCACCTGGAGCCCATCTGCTGCCCCACACAGGCCAGCAGAGCCCGGAGCCCTCCGCCCTGCCTCAGGGCAGGAAAGGGAACCGAAGCGGCCCTCCTCGCCCGCCAGTGGCCCTTACTGCCCGCGGTGCCTTTGGGGGACATCTCAGCGCAGAGCGGCAGCAGGACAGAGCAGGAGGGAAGGGCGCCAGCCGCGGACACGGCCCCTGGCATGGGAGAGTCCCTATCCAGGCGATGGCAGCAGGGAGGGCAAAGAGCACGGCGGGTGCTCCCTGGGGCAGAGCAAGCAGAGCTCCGTCCTTGCGTTCTCCCCCGCACATCACACACCGTGGGCAGGTGTGGGGCCTCGGCGGGGGGCTGGATGCAGGAGAAGGGACCCAACCTCCGGCCTTGCTGCCAGGGCGCTGGGAAGGAGGGTCCTGCCCGGGGCAGTGCCAGGCTCAAAGCTGGCCCGAGGCGGGCAAGGCGAGGAAGGCAGATGGCAAGCGGCGCCATCGCTCCACTCCCCGGCGGCACTGAAGCCCTGGAACATTCACACATTAGCCAAAGGGCAATTATACTTGCTCGGGTTTAAATGCATCTAAGGGCAGAGCTGGGCCCTGCTCCGCTCTCAGTGAGGTGGGAAGGGCAGCGTGGCTTCCGCTAGGGGGAGAAAAGCAGCCATCTTCAGCGCCACGCGCGCCCAGCGCCCTTGGAGCTCCGTGTCCTCCTGCCGGGCCACGCTCCAGCTCTCCCCCCTGCGGGCGGCAGGCTCAGAGAAAGTCAAACACCCCGTAATTCTTTGCTGCTTGATAGAAGAAAGACATAAGGGTGAAAAGAGAGAAGAGATGTTTAGGGCGGAAGGACCGCGGCAGCAGCGACACACGGGCAAGCAGCACAGGGCGCTGGGACGGATGCGGATTAATGGGGTTAGAGAGGACGGACGGCGGGAGGGAACGACCGTTGGCAATACACAAGTGTGGTGGCGGGCTGGGCTGGCAGGGCTCAGCAGGCCTGCAGGGCCCTCCGCCCCGCTCGAGGAGGGATTAGAATCAAGGTTTAGTTCCATTTATTTTTTTTTCCCTTTTTTTTTTTTTCTTCCGAATTTTCCAAAACCAAAAAAAAAAAAAAAAAAAAAGACCCATAAAAACAAGGGGGTGAAGCTGGGGCTGGTCCTAGGAGACAAACGACGGGGATGGAAGGGGGAAGGAGGGGCAGCAGACAGACAGGGGACGGGCGCTTCACATTACATCCACAAAGAACTCACTGGGGTTGCCCATGGCCATTCGGAAGGACTGTCTACTGGCTGTCAGTTCGGGGGGCACAGAGGCCAGGTCGCGGCCCGGCGGCGCCCCGGGGGGCCCCATGGCTGGGGGGGGGTGTGGTCCGACTCGCTCCCGCTGCCACCTGACTTGGACTCTCCGGTTTTCTCTCTCTCCTTTCTCCTCTCGCTGCCACTGCGATTGGAACCGCTGCTCCGGCTCCCTGCAAAACATGACGGGCAAGGTTCTGTGACGCATCTGAGGAGCCAGGAGGGAAGCTTCCTGCAGCCCTCCCAAGACAGGACTACAGCACAGTGCAGCCCAGACACCATCTCAGTCTCCTTTCAACTCTAATCCCATAACACTTATGGGATTCATCTAAATGAAGGCTTTAACCTAGTTCCCCCATGCGCAGGGTCTTGCCCAAAGGACCAGCTTGTTCTTGCTGCTTCCCCCTAGTGCACAGGACACGTGCGCAGCTCTGCAGGTACATTTGGGTCTTCTTCACTCACCTTCACTGTGCTGGCTGCCTGCACTGCCCCCTCCATAGCTGTAGCCTGGGTCAGGGAAGCCGGGGTGGGGGTTGTATGGATGAGGTGGTGGATACTGATATGGAAAAGCCATAGGCCAGGGTGCAGCTCCCGGGTGTGGGAGAGGAGCCAAAGTGTCCTGATCGGAAGCACCGCTGGAGCCATCGTGATCATGAAGAGACAGGTTAGCCATGTCTGCAAGAAAGTACAAAACAGCAGTTAAGGCAAGTGGAAAGGCAACCGGGGTGATGAAGCAGCTTCGTGGCCACCCTTGCTGATAGGCAATGGTGGGGTACACAGCAGAGGAGAGGAGCTGGTACCTCCCTGTTAAACGCTGCAGCCATCTGTGCTTCCTGCCTGGATGGCAGCCAGGCTGCATGACTCGGAGCTGTCACTCCGAGACAGAACAAGCACAGAGGGAAAGGACCACATCAGAGCTAGAGCCTCCCTCGCCAATTAGTCTTCCCCATCCTTCTTATCTGAGCAGAACCCAAATGTCACAGCACCACTCCCTTGCCAGCAATGAAAGCTCAGAGCCTGGAGCCAAATCCAGGCAGAAGAGGCTGAGCCTCTGCTTTGGCTGCCCCAGGGAGAAGACTGTGTGGCACATGACAGTGCCAGCAGCGCTCCCAAATCTGGAGTCCCAGCAAGCATGACAAGGGAGCTAGGATATTTTTCATCGCTCTCTAAATAGGTCTGCGGAAGAAGGGGCCAAGCCTGACAGCAATCGCTGTGGCTCTGTCCCCAGTTGTTAGCAGGGCCCTGCCCCACCATCCTCTCCCTCCCATCCATGCCAAGCCCAGAACTAAGTGCCATACTGCCACAGAGGTCCCCGAAGATGTAGTAACACTGTTCCGAGAAGGTGATCTTGTTCACGGTGTGCCGGATGTAGCCAGCCTTCAGCAGATTGCTGGCATACTTGCGGGATTCACGACGGTCTGTGAAGCCCTCCACGTGGTGATACAGCCAATCCACCACGTCCGAACCTGACAGGAAACATTAGGGTTAAATGCAGCAAGAGAGGGGAGAGCAGACCCTGAAACAGAGGGCCAGCCTGGAGACAAGGCAAAGTGGGCCCAAAGATGAAAAGGTAATGGGCTTAGGGCTGAACCAAGGGCTCAGTCTGTGACCCTGGCCCAGTCAACAGTAATTTTATACTAAGATGCTCTCTTTACAAGCATTTGCTTGGGAAATTGGCCCCCTGCTCCCCAATCCCTGCGTTTGCTGGAGGCAGCACAGACACTTACCAATGAAGGCATTGGGGATGGTGATCTTCAGCCACATGCGGTCACGCACCTCCAGGCCTGACTCTGGGGAGGCCATGGCTTTGACAATGGTGGCCATGTCACTGTGGATGGACAGGTGAAAGTCATCGAGGCCTGTTGTGCGGAGAGAGGTAAGGGAAGCAGAGATGAGAGGAGGCAGAAGAGACCACAGGGCCACATGGAAGCATCACAGCCAGGAGGAATGGGCCAGGGAACAATACATCACAGACAGCCATGGGGTGCATGCTGGCCTAATCTCCACTGCAGCCGTCCAATGTTATGAGCTGCTTCCTCTTGCATAAGCAGAGGTTAAAATCTCCTCTCACCCAGACCCAGGCAGATGAGATCCAAAAGCTGCCATCTCAGCCTACACAGCTCAGCAAGGGAGTTCACTCCTCCTTACAAAGCTGCAGCAAGCTCCTGGCCTCTTGCTGCAGCTCCAAGCTCTCTAGGCAATTGTTTCTGGGTTCCGTTTACTAGAATCACTCAAAACTTTCAGAAACAGCCCTCTGCTCAGCAGGCCCTTGCTCCACTGCAAAGTTCCTTGCTCCTAAAAGCCTTCTCCATCCTGCCCAATCCACTGTCTTGGCATGCGTTGTTCAAGGACAAACCGACTCCCCTCTGACCCTGCACTCTCAGCTGAGAGCCCCAGATCGCTCCCTTAGTCTCTCCTCCACAGCTCCTGGATGCTGTCCAGGCTCTTCTGTGCTCCTTAAGCAGAGACCAAGAAACGTGGCACTAATTCACCCAGTGGGAACTCCTGCTGATCCATGCCCCTGCCCGGTGAGAGCTCCCTCCCCTCAGCTCGGCAAACGCTCCCCACACAGACGTACTGCTCCCGTTAGGGCACAGTGCAGGTGAGGAAGCCGTGCAGTGCAGGGAGCGCGGAGGCACAAGAACTTACGTTCGGTCTCTGGGATGGAGCTGGTGATGGAGGAGCTGGTGGAAGTGATTGTGCTCATGGATGGACTCATACCGTACGCTGGGTAGGTGCCGGTCATCGCTGCTGTGTGGGACACCCAGGCTGCCGGGTCAATTGGCCGGATAGGCTCACCTGCAGGAAAGAGAAGGTCAGTCAGAAGCTACCAGAAATCATCCCTTCATCAAATGCAGCTCTGGGGGCGGGACAGGGACTCAGCACAGCCCATTTCATCCCCAGCATCTGCCGGGACTCACCCGGATCGGAGCATGGAGAGTCTGGCCCAGCCCAGATCCGCTGGGGAGCAACTGGGAGAGAAAGAAGAGAGGGAGGGTCAGCAGGAGAGGTGCAGAGGGAGAGATTTCCCCTATGGCTGAGGGGGGTGTTTCTCTGTCCTCTGGCGCTCTGAGCAAGTGACCCCCCTGACCCAGTGAAACGCGTCCCCAGCGTGATGTGGGAAGGAGGGCTGGGCTTATGGGCATTTTGGCTTGGGAATAGGACACTGTGGCCACCTAGCATGAGAGCTGAGCCCCTGTCAAACCCCGTTTCCAGTGCCACAGGGCATTACACACACACACACACGCAAAGGAGAGGAACAAGACAACAAGCAAGTAAGTGCTCAAGGCAGGGCTCTCACATGGGCTGGGCATCAGCATTAAGGGTGAGTCAGCTATCCACTTACTCCTAGGTAACGAGAAGCAGCCTCGGGGGCTGGGGTCCCAGCACTTGGCAACAGTCAGGGTGATGGGCCTGCAGCGAAAAGACAAGAGTTAGGACAAGAGCCCAGTAGCACAATCCCCCAGGAGAGCTGAGGCAGAAGCTATATGCAGGCTCTCTCCTCCTGGGAGGGCAGAGAAAAGTAGCCAGCACAGCACCCTTATCCCCCACCACATGTGGACTTCCCTAGTGGCATGGACAAAGCAATGGGGTAGGCAATAGGAGCTGCAATCCTCCTCTTAGCCAAGCTAGGCAAAAAGATGACATAGCACCCCCAAAAGTTAGAATGCACCCCCATAGTTAACCACTACTGCGCTGGCTCCAGTTCTTTAGGTTTCAAAACCCAGGAACCAAAGCAATACTAGAAATACAAGTTCTGGGTTCCTGCAGTCTCAGAGCTGCTGGAAGATATATCTGGAAGACAACCTGCAGACCCCAAGCACATACCATAGAGCTGCCCACAGAAGTGAGAAACAAAGCCAGAGCACCTACCCAGGCTTGTGCACAATCTCCCGGAGCACCCGTACAGCATCATCATTGCTCATGTTTTCAAAGTTAATATCGTTCACCTGCAAACAACACAAAGGGATGAGTCTAAGATGTGGCCAGAGGCAGAGCTCCCCACTCAGCTCCGTAGTGACTCAGCTTCTTCCTTCCAGGAGGAGCTTCCTGGGTTTAGTCTGCCAGAATGTGCGAGG